ACTTTTTTTTTTTTCATTTAATAATTTGGAATATTAATTTTTGTCAAAGTTAAAAGTTAAAGTTTTTTTAGAAAATGGGAAGTCGTGTTAGATTACTTATTTATTAATAATAAAAATTATTTTCTGTATGTGTAAATATTTTTATTTGAAAAGTGTAGAAGAAAATCTACCCCAAAATAAATTATTGATTTCTTAAATTTATTTATTTTTTCATTCTAATTTAGTTATCTTTCTCGTTCAATTTTATTACACAAAAATGCTACAAAATATTGAAGTAGGTCATCATCTTTGAATGCTTTCATTTAGGTAGTTGTGGATAGCACCGATATCTATCATAGCCCTGATTGACTTTCCATTGATCTTCATATCAATGTACATTAGGCATTTTGCCCTACAATAGTAAGCATTCGATTCTTCCATCTTCGGCTCTTTCAAGGGATCATCTTCCCTTTTAGTAACTCGGTGCGATAGTGTATTGCATCNCGGTTCGATAGTGTATTGCATCGATGTGAGAATGAGCCAACTACTTCCTCAGCTTCTTCGGAGCGCATTTTTATTGATATTAAGGCCCTGTTTGGGAGGGATTAAATTTTTCTACAGTAAATCAATTCTCATTTTCAACCACACATTCTTCAATAAAATAATATTTTACATCAATAATTTTTTTTTCTTTTTCAACCACACATTTCCCATCATATCACTATTCAAAATTAATTCTTCTCCCAAAAATCTCTCCCAAACAAGCTCTAAAGTGGAGATAACGAAAACTATATTCAGTCGAGTTTAATGAGAGCTTTTGTATATAATTATTTATTAATTTAATAAATTAACTTATTTGTTCATTTTTTGTGATATGTAAATGTATTAAATTGGTTCAACCACGGTTTGACCTTTGTTCAACCATGGTCTGAATTCGGTTTGACCCTATGCTTTTTATAGGTCGATAAGGATCGATTTTTTAGAATATTAATAAGTAGTATAAATCCTTTTCATCTCTTATTCTTTGTAAACCCATAAGTCAAAAAATTTTCTATGTACTTTTTAATTATACAAGTTTTATTATTCTAGTATTCATTGACAATTGTAGTTAAGATTTCGGGACCCACCCTTCCTGTTCTGAATTACCCACATCTATTGGGCCAACACAATGATATACCATTTGTAATCCAAATTTTGCTATGGGTACATTCGGGGTTAACATCCCAGATGACAGTCCTCACACGAGGGGAGCTTCGTGATTATTTTATTACACGCAGGCCCCCTGTTGTGAGGGACTAAACCCCGAATATACAAACAACAAAAGGCTTGTAATCCTTGGCCCCTTGTTGAACCACATTCTCTAACAATTCATTTTTTGTTAAATTCATTTTTAATCATATTTTTTAATAAAATAATTTTGTATATAAACCTGAAAAATTTTCCTACCTTTAAATCACTATTACAAACTTAATATAACATATCCAACGAGTTTCATCTAATGTACCATAGATCTTTTGGGCCAACGTATATGTGGGCTTCAGGCTAAGCCCGTGTGTATAAGATCCGATCCATTTAATTGAAAAACTCAATTTTCTTGCGTTTCGAAATTAAATTAAGGAGTAAATTATCTTCTACTTTTTTCCTTTCGCTTCTACTCTTTTTTGGTACACAATAGAACTAAAATATTTGGCAATTAGGAGAAACTTTAAAGTTTTTTTGTACCTTGGTTGCAGAGTGTTTGTTAATTGTGATGAGGCGATGCCTTCGATCTATCATTTACTCTTTTTATTCATTCCTTTGTATATATTTTCATAAAATTAGGCATTAACCTATTTTACTCCAAAGTTCAAGTCATGAACTTTTAAAAGGGTGAAATGGACTATTATTGTCATTGAAGACCAACTGGCTACAAATTAAAATGAGGTAGGGGACGGTTCTTGTAGAAAAAACTTCAACATTGAAAAATAAAAATAAAAATTGAAGTGTGAGTTTGATTGCAAGTATGAAATTTGCATAAATTCTAGACAATTCAATTACCTAGAACTTATTTATATGGAAATTATTAATTAAATGTATTTGACTGATTTAGTTTTTAACTTAGGGGGTGTTTGGGATTGATTCTCAATTTCTACAGTAAATCAATTTTCATAAAATTAGGCATTAACCTGTTTTACTCCAGAGTTCAAGTCATGAACTTTTAAAAGGGTGAAATGGACTATTATTGTCATTGAAGACCAACTGGCTACAAATTAAAATGAGGTAGGGGACGGTTCTTGTAGAAAAAACTCCCAACATTGAAAAATAAAAATAAAAATTGAAGTGTGAGTTTGATTGCAAGTATGAAATCTGCATAAATTCTAGACAATTCAATTAGTTAGAACTTATTTATATGGAAATTATTAATTAAATGTATTTGACTGATTTAGTTTTTAACTTTGGGGGTGTTTGGGATTGATTCTCAAATTCTACAGTANAACTTCTCATTTTCTACAGTAAATCAATTCTCATTTTCAACCACACATTTTTCAATAAAATAATATTTTCCATCACATCAATACTTTTTTCTTCTTTTTCAACCACACATTTCCCATCATATTACTATTCAAAAATCAATTCTTCCCCCAAACATCCCTCCCAAACAAGCTCTTAAAAATATTATAATTGTTCATTTTTTATTGGTGAGAAGATGAAAGAAGAGGGATAGATAAGAGAGAGAAACGAGGGTGAATTCCCTGGAAAATAAAATCTTACTCCCCCTAAAGAAATATTTTCTTTAATTTTGAGGAAAATGTGGTCACGTGACTAAAGTAGGAAAATGTCTTCCAAAGAAAAAAATATCAATCAAACAGCGCAAAAATAGGAAGTTGGGTAGAAAAACACATTTTCCATGAAAAATATTGGTAGCACTCTAAATAGATTAAAACCATTATCTTACAACTTGTTACTTGTATTTCACCTTCTCCTAAACGTACTGATGTAAAGCAAAAATTCTATCGTGAGATTGGTTATGGAAATAAGTGAGAATTCAACAGAATACTTTTGGGTATCCTAATTTGAATATTTGCTATTTTATATTCTTAATCCCAGTTGTATATGGTATTATAGCTTTCTTGCAATAAAAGCTGCAGTTACCTCTGTCAATAAAATCTACAAAAGTACTTCAAAATGTGTGTGATACCTATATATTTTATGTCCGATAATGAATAAAGAATCTTACATTTGGTCTTCGTTCGAGAAGTTTATGCTAGTAATTGGATATTCATTTTTATGTAATGTTTTGAACTGGTTGCTATATGAAAACGTCCCCTGCATAAAAAGTAAATAAATGAATGTTAACTGAGCAAGAAATATAATAGAATAGCTGTTGTATAAATAGATTTCATCTTTAGGGGTATGCCATTATTTCTGTGTTGACTGTCGACGTAGAAAGTAGTATACGTTTTTGAGGCAAAGAACTTAGAATTTGACATTTTCTTACGTAGAGGCTTTGGCTTTTGATCTTGATTCCTTCTTATCGAAAATCTGCATACTCAGATAATTTGCTATTTACAGAACATAACTTTTTTCAAATAATTGAGCTCTAGAGCTAGATTTTAGCAGGTCGATGTATCCTCACTTCATCTTTTCAATGTAATAAAAATCAGGATCATATCCAGGACGCTGTCTTTTCTCCTTTAGGCAGACCTCGAGGCATATTCGGCCTAGCGCCAATAGGAATTATACCCTCAGTAAAAGCAGCAACTGCTCACGTTGATTTCCCAAAGGACTGGAAGTGATTGGCAATAAAAGCAAGTGTTCAACTTTATTATATTCGCCCTTTTTGGTGTTTGGGGGGGGGGGGGGGGGGGGGGGAAAATAAAAAACA